TGTGGTACACGTGATGTGGCTGGTGGATTTGTGGCTGCCGATAAGGCACGATTATATCATCATTATCAGCAATCTCAAGCGAGCTACCAGAACAAATAGATTCCGACTCGCCGATCCTCTCAAGCACAGAGCTCGGCTCGCTCAGGTACTTTGTTTTGCATTGCAATTTGAAATGGAATCCCACGATGCATGAATCTCAAGATGTGATTGACTACATTTGGGTCTCGTATTATTGAAATGTACTATCGGAGGTATGTACCTCGTACTCGTCACATACATAAATACAGTCATTCAAATCCCAGCGAGAGAAGTAATGAGTCTGGACCCGTTGGGCATTTCTCTTGCAAGTATTGAAGCCTCAACAATCACATCTCACGATGTATACCCTCTTGACCTTTTTTCCCTCCTACTTTTGCCACTCTTTTCTCCATATCTTTTCCTCATTCTGGGGTCTGGGCATTGAGCTTCTTTTGTTTCCCTTGCTTTCGGTGTAGCAACACTCAGACCGAATCGATTCAGCAATGGGCGACCCCCACTGAAATACCAACTGTATCCATTATGAGTGGAGAGATTTGGGGAGCTGCACTGTCAGATGATGTCAACAACCCTTGGTACATACTCGTAGTAGGTAGCTATCATTTCTGTTTTCACTCTACGTCAAGTACCAAGGACCTTCTTAAACTAAGTACCAATTTTCTCGAGAATCCTTTTCATTTCGTACAAGAGCATTCATTGTCCATTCAACCTTTTCACTCTTCAATTGACTTTGAACGAATATTTTGGAATATTGTGAATTTAGTGCCCTTTTTATAACTTGATTCAATTATCTCAGCCAAATCAGATATTCCGTTGTAGAGACCATCTAGCCTGGCCGCCATATTTTGGATCTTTTCTTTCAACAAACACGTCAACGATGTTCCGATCACAACTTCTTAGACATACAGCTCGTGCTGCCAGAGCTTCAACAAAGGCAGCTTCATCTCGCACATTACCAGCTCTATCCTCAAGACCAATTCACAGCACAGCTTCCCTTCGCGAGAAGCTTGATGATCCACCCCACGAAGGTTCTTTTGCACGAACCGATTCCTCTGTACATGTCGAATACCCAGAAGAACATGATTTGCCATCCAGTAAGCCAGTACAAGGCAGAGGTGGGCTTCATTTCAAGCGTACACTTGCATCTTTCTCTTTGGAAGGAAGAGTTGGTGTCGTTACCGGAGGTGCCAGAGGCTTGGGACTTGTCATGGGTCAAGCCATGGTTATTAGTGGTGCTGATATTGCAATTGTGGATATGAATAGTACGTGCCATCAACGAATGTCAAGCTGATGCTGTGCTAATAATGCAACAGAGGAAGAAGCCGAAAAACAAGCAGGAGAACTTGTTGCTTCATTCAAAAGGGAGAACCCAGGAGCAGAAAAGTAAGAAGAGCATTGCTACTTTGATCTTGTAACTAAAGGCTTACACATCAATTTAGGGTTCCAAAGGTTACCGCTCATTACGCAGACGTCTCTTCTCAAGAATCCGTCGATGCTGCTATTGCCGAAATTATTTCCCAGCATGGAAAAATCGATAACTTAGTGACATCAGCCGGCTTCACTGAGAATTTTGAAGCCATCAACTACCCAATCGATCGAGTTAGAAAACTCTGGGGTGTTAACGTGGATGGAACATACCTATTTGCAATTGCCGTTGCAAAACACTTGATGGAGCGTAAGTCTCCAGGAAGCATGGTGTTTATTGGCAGTATGTCCGGTGCCATTGTCAATGTTCCACAACCTCAAGCGCCGTACAACGCGGCCAAGGCTGCTGTCCGACATCTCGCTTCATCCTTGGCTGTCGAATGGGCTCACGCTGGCATCCGAGTCAACTGCATCTCCCCTGGATATATGCTGACTGCATTGTAAGATCTGAACCCCAGAAAGACCCCGTGGGGGTTCCATTTTTCTTTCATGTAAGCCAATACTAATTACGGAAACAATAGAACCAAGAAGATTTTGGATGAAAACCCAGAACTGAAGAAGCAATGGACTTCCCTTATTCCCCAAGGTAAGATGGGTCAGCCCGAAGACCTTATGGGCGCCGTCACTTTCCTCTCGTCAGACGCATCTAACTACGTTACTGGAGGTAAGAACATTTTTCTCCGCAGAGTCCCTTTGAATCAACTTGCTGACACCACCCCAGCCGATTTACGAGTAGATGGAGGTTACACTCTCACATAATCGATCCTTGTTCTTCAACGGGTCATCAAGTGTGTTTATAGCGCCTTTTCTTATGTTCACAAAAGCATTAGATCTTCGAACCCGAGTCATATAGGTGGAAATGGCTTACTGCTTCCTTCCCCTTCCCCTTCCTACTCGGCTTAATGTAGCATGACGAACTTATGAAATTTCTTTACGCATCCTACCTACATACCCGCTTGACACTCGTGTAACCTTCCGAAATATCACAAGATCATCCATCCATTCATCTATCTCTATTTGACTCCTGCAACCATGCCTCACGATATCACGTGTAAAACCCCACCTAATATCACTTTTCTTCCCCATTTCATTGTGCATACAGCGCGAACTACAACATCACACCACATTACACAGCAGCAAAAAACAATTCTCTGAATGAACTCGTGACTTTTTAGACCCTTGAGGGTCAGGGGGAAGAGTGAATTATTTTTTCTCTCATGGAGGTTGGTGCTACACGGAGTGGTTTTGGTGTTTTGGATTTGACTGAGTTCTGGGGGGTTGCAATGGATGGGATGGGATCAACGAATGAAGGAATCAACGAGTACGCTATCGATCGCAATAGATCTTGTGAACTTGAGGGACAACTAGGTAGGTAACTATGTAGGTTACCTATATGAATATTCAACTGGGGATTGCAAGACTGTAGACTGGAGAGTGAGGGATGTTGAATATTGAATTTGATTAGGATGGATGTTGAATTGTGAGAAATACTAGTGGGTTTCCAGGTGAGATGCCTACCTAGGTACCCTTTAAATCCGAGTTACAGTTACAATTTACAGTTACAATTTACAGTTACAATCACAGTATGTACCTAGTATGTATGTATGTATTGAAAAATTCTAATATATTGATTCTGAAACGGAATATCAATATTGCTACTCGTGAGCTTCCATCAGCAATTTAAAAATCAAAATGCCTAGGCACCTATTGAAATACCTACCTAGTATTGAGATAAGTTGATCTGGTTTCTAGAGTACCTAGGTAGGTATGTAGAACACAAAATTTGCCGAATCCGATGATGCACACACATCCATCCTTCGTACAGACATACAAAGCTGTTCCAGTCAGGTATTGCTGATGATAATGTTGTGGAATATCAGTTACCGATTGGTTCGATACGATATCCCTGGTATTTTTCTCGCTGGCACAAAATCTACCTGCGAGCCTGCCACTGCATCTGATTCTCAGTATGCATCTGCAATGTGCTATGTGCTATGTGCTATTGGCGGGAGCAGAACAAGCAGAGTAAACCAAAAAAAAACCCCCATCAAAGCCATCCAAAGTTTTCACCGATAGAAAACATGAGGCTTACCCCAGAGAAGAGACATACCTATGTACCTAGGCAGAGCATATCCATATCCACATCCACATCTACCTTCACATCCACCTTCACAATCACAATCACCTTCAAATACACATTCACAAGCGTGCGCTTGGTAGACAAACACCACACCACACCACACGCAGAGAGATGACAAGATTGCTGCCCAATCCCCAACTGTGTTATCCTGACTTCTCTCCCCCTCCCGAGCCCGCCAGCTGTACCAGGGGCCAGGACGAAGGAAAAAAAGGTTAATATATTGTGAGGCTTGCTCTGCGCCGAAGAGGAGCACCTACCCCTTCATCACACCACGCCGGGGCGAAAAAATATTGGGACACCAGATAGACTCGCCAAAAAAAAAACCAAGCCCCTTTCAGTAGAAAATGGCTTTGTTTAATAATCACATAATGCTATGGAAGTATAATTCTAATATAATAGGATTTAGAAAATTCATTAATCATGCGCTTGGAAATATTCTTTGATAGATTTTGCTTCGAAATACTGATGAGATGATTTGATATATGATTTTTGAAAAAGGGAGTGAGATTTTGGAATCCCCCAGTAATCTTTCGTCCTGATGGCGCCACCCACGCAGAAAAGAGCAGCGGAAAACGAAAAACGAAATTAAGAAACACTTTTCTAGAAGCATTTTAGTGAGTAGTAGGAAGGAAGCTAGAAGGTTGGAAGGAACAATTTGCGTTTTCTCGGGTCAGGATACGTGAGACATGGGTGGAGTATAGAAAGAGCGTGCGTGGGCGAAAGAAAAAAAAGGGCAAGGAGCGGCTCGGCGGCATCGCTTTGGATGGATGGTTTTCCCCCTGAGTTTGGCACACTTTTGTTTTGCTTTGCTTTGTCAGATTTTGGGTCGTGTCATATGATCTCGGACGGTTTAGGACTTTGTCGTTGGGTGCTGTTCCTCTGAGACAGTGATTTGGTTGATTGGAATATGGATTACGGGCCACGTTTTCTGCTGGCCTCGGGATAAACACGCGGGATGGGTGGTTGGATGAGAGAGATCCTATTTTCCGCCTTGCTCAAGAGTAATTAATGAGTGCATGAAGCTTGAGGCTCGAGGCTTGAGTCAATTCCCAATAAAGGTTTGATAGACGGTTTATCCTGCCAAAGTTGCTTTTGTATGGTACTAGTTCACAACTCCATCACTGTTCGTTGTAATATATCGTACTGTAAGTCATGTGGTGTGGAGAAGTACCGGGTAGGGTCCAAAATCCGGGGGATTGGTAACTTTGGTCTAGATACTTAAATGTCTAAATGCAATATAAAAAACTTTGTGCGGATATACAGAGTAGGTGTCTACCTAGGTATGTTCCCATGGATCCAATTGAAACTTCCTATGGTTAGTGAAAAGAGTCGTACCGGATCACAAATGTGTTTCGTTTGTTGGGATTCCAAGTTCTGATTGTTACTCTAGATTGCCAGTCTAGATTCCTGGATTTGGAGAGAGTAACACAATACCATCCCCCATCCTCAGACCAGTAACGATGAACGTCACACGACGCTTCCTTAAATTGAGGCGGAGAGATAAAAAGAGGTCAGATGTTCACAAACGGTTCCGTACTTGGATATCGGAAAGGGTTCCGCGACGTTTTGGAGTATTGCAGATATAAAAAGCTGGACGAGAGCTACCTAGTACCTTGTAGATTAGGAAGGTAGGTAGCTTTTTTCTGTTGTGCTGATGAGGACTGAGAGATTCTGTTGTCGCATGGAGAATGCGTGTGTTCGTTGGGATTATTCTCTCGGGTGGAAGGATTGGCCTCGTCTGGTTCGTTCCCTTTCCCTCTCTTGCCTTGACTTTTGCTTGTTTGCTGGCTTTTGAAAACAAGCAATGACTCGTTCGTGATCAGTGATTATATGCGTTTTCCCATAGTAAGACGAATACTAGAATCCTGCGACAGCGGTGAGTCCGAATAGTCGCATAGGTCGGTAAGATTGAGTATGAAGCGTGCCAGCCCAACTGTAAGACTTATAAGAGATGTACTATGAGTATAATACCAATGCGAGATTGACAACGCAAGAACTATGAGTCGTGCCGTAGATTGTCACTGCCGGGTCGGTTTCAAGGCTAGAAACCGGCCTCGCGTTGTATTCCACTCATTTTGCCTTGCCTCGTGCCTTTATGCATGTCGCAAAGCCCCTGGATATAGTTTGAGCTAGGTAGCAACATGTTATTTACCGATTTCGAGTACCACATGGTCATCATCGGCTTATTTGATATGGAATATACGGAGTACGGAGGGTGAACTCCGTAGAAGAACTGGGCCGTGTTTCTTGCACGACGATGATGCGGATGTTCTACATTGAGAATTTGAGACAAGAGATGAAGCTATTCTCATGTCAATCTTATCTCATCTCATCTCACCACGTCCAATTTCCCTGCATGATCTTCCGATGGACAAGTAGTACTATAAGATTAGGTATGTATAACATATCAATACTTTTCAGCAGTGTAAGGGCAGAAAAAGCATACAGTGCAACTTCATATTTCCCGTAGGATGGCTAGATGCTCCTCGAGCAAGTCATAAGTCATGAGTTTGTAGCAATTGCCACTCAACACGGCATTCTTTTTGTTGTTTGTGACACTAGGATTGGATAGATATTCTCGGGCCCATCAAATGTTCTTTCCAAGTACATACCTAAGTCGCCCAAGCAAGTCAAGAAGATGGAGCGGCCTTCCAATCCTTGTTCTAATGTCCACGCATACTTCGTACAAATGAAGTGAGATTCTTAGGTACTAGAAAGCATTCTAATGTATGTCCTCTTCCTACCTAGGTAGGCATAGCGCAATCATGTTATGTTAGATGTGTACGCACGAAATAGTTATTGTGACAATCGAATATCCTTGGCAAAAGAAAGGAGCATACATGAGTGGTACCGGTATCGAAGGAAGTTGCATCCTGGGAAGAGACAAACGGTTTTCATTTACACCTTCCCTCCCTTACCCGACTTTTCTCATTCCTTCTTTTTGCAACATCTCACCATCCCCACAGTATTATATAAACGAATCACGATATCAATGATAACCATATCTCTCCAAGAGAAGGAAAGAAGAGATGATGGCCGAGTAGAATGTGATACCTAGGTAAGAACCCTGGCTTAAGTTCTCTACTAAGCATCAGCACCGGCTACTCCCATAAAGTTTCCACCGTTTTAATTTGATTAAAAGCTAATATCCCATGAAGAACACTCCAAACCCATAATTGTTCTCGTGAGTGAGTGTTGTTGTCGGAGGAGAAAAGTTCAAGCATTCAAGCATTAACAAGAGCGAAGGAATGAGAGAGAGAAAGAGAGAGAGGACTAGATGAAGTTCACTACATAAATGATTGCTCGTCACATTACCTACTGACCATGCTTTACGGACTCGAGAAGTCTTCCGATGGATTGCTTCTGCTTCGCACAGTAGTGTACCGTTTTGTACAGACATGATGTAAAAGCCAACGCAAAAAAGTCTCAGAGTCTCCAACAATAACAACAGTCGCCTTGTCATATCCACTTTATATGATCTACCAGGCTCAATTCCCTTTCATCCATATCCATGATTCCATATCCATGATTCCATATCCATATTCATATTCATACCCATGCCCACCAGGTCCATCATATCGTACCCATCCAGATCATACAAACAGACCGAGAGAGAGACGCTACCTAAAGTAGGTTATTACTTCCAAATTAAAAAGAAAAGATTTGCAAAACTTGATTTCCATTTGGTCTCCTTATTATTACTCTATTCCTATGGTTCCCCGAGTCTAATTGCCGATCAATCAATCAATCCGTCTCATAATTCATCAAATCCTCTCGACTAATTAATTATATAAAAAATCAGGACTGCCAATGAAATCCTTCCCATCTACTACCGATATCTAGCCACTCGAGTTATTGCAGTTTGCTGTGTACGTACTGTACCTACTGTACTTACTTACTGTCTTCGTTCTCAACAGAGATTCAAACACACGCAGCTTCATATAAATCTGCTGGTCGGTACCTACCTATTCTATCTGGACTGTGCTGTGCTGTGCTGTGCTGTGCTGTGCTGTGCTGTACGGAAGCAAAGAAGCAAAGACGCAAAGACGCAAGTACCCCGTGCACGTTATACGTTATTCTGTTCCGACTGACCTGACTGGAGCCAAAATGAAAACAATTATAAGAGGAATAATGATGATTTATTGCATTTCATAACAATACCGTTTGTCGTTTGTGCCTACATATCTACACATATCTACACATATCTACACATATCTACACATATCTACACGTATCTACACACATATCTACACGCATATCTACACACATACCTCCTCCCTCATCAGCCTGCCTCCTACCAGATACCTACCAGGGACCTTACCGTACCAGCCTACCCAATGGAAAATTGGAGAATTTTATCTTTCCAACTCGAACCTTTCTTCCCTCGAATGAAAAAGTTGCCCTGTGCCATTTGACGACAATCGATATCGGTACTTGTCTACTTGTCTACTTGCCTTCTTGTCTCCTTGCCTACCTTCCTACCCACCTACCGACTCACCTAATACAAGTCAATGGTCTCAATCAGAGATACTTCACATCTTATCATCTCACCCATCATCAATCTCTATTCACATGCCATTTCTCTCTCATCGACTTTGAGATATCGTATTATATATTCAGAATATTCCCTGGTGTGAACTCGAAATCGAAACTCCCTACCGACCTTCCTATCTCCTCCTCCTCACATCAAATCAAATCCACACAAATTCACAAATTCACATATTCAACAAATTCTCATTCCTCGGATCATTTCCGAACCAATAACATTTTTTTTTCTATCATTTTAATCAACTCCCTCCCTTGGTACGTACAAAAATGATACCTACCTACCTGCCTACCTACCTAAGTACACATAACCAAAAACCTTAATTTATTAACCCTCTTCGATTCTCTCTGCTTTGCTTTGTTATCCCCTCGGGCTCGGATTCTTATTAATGAAAAGCTTGGAGAAAAAAAATACTTCTAGAATTTCTATTTTCTATTTTGGAATTTCATAAACTAAAATCTCATACTATCTTTCTTAGCTTCACTAGCTTTTTTTTTCTCATCGTCAATATCCTGGATCTCTTCCTTACAACCTTGTCTTTCCACAGATTTACTTGTCACCGATCTCCCGTCCCTTTCTATAACCGGCCAATACTTAATCTTTACCAAATTTTAATTCCTTACTTTAGTTTTCAGCTTTCTTAGCTGTTAAAGCGCCTTTCTTCTTCACGGTGACGCAGCAACTTCTGGGTAGGCTAGCTGCCTGCCTTAGAAGAGCTGCAGTCGCTTTACAACTTTAGGTTCTGGCGACGTGAAGAAGATGGCATTGATATTGCCCAAGGGCATTGTGGTCAATTCTCCTCAGATTGGAAGCACCATTGAGAGAATCAAGAATGATCCTTTGGATCTTGCAGATATTGCCAGATTTTGGAAAGGTACCTTACATATCTTGATTGAAAAGTAAAAGCATCAAGCTTATTGTCTTCTAGTCTATACCACAACAAAACGAAGACTTCTCGACCCTACAGCTGAGCGTTTAGAGAATTATTGGTGGCGAATATGGGGGAGTCGAAGTCGAGAGTTGGATGCTTCAACTGTTGCTCGACTTTTCGTCCATATCTCAGAGGGTGACACTTTTGTGCCACTCAGAGGACCGCCCAATCGCTATGAAAATGAGAAGCCAATGGTATGCAAACCTATTGATGAACCGTGGAGCCCCATACTGAATTTCGATGATTAGAATAGTGTAGCCTGTATTGGAAAGACTGCCTCGACTACTTCTGTTGCTCGTGTTCGCAACGATAGCCGATCAAGTACAACGATGACATCAGTCGCCCGGGCACCTGCTCCTATGCCACCTCCAATATTAAAAAAGACTCGAGGTCCTTCTGCAAACGGTCCTCGGCCGACTGCACGATTCATATCCCCGCCAGTTTCAGAAGACGAGTCTGGTAGCACAAGCACAAACAAGAACGTTGTACAATCACCTTCGCCAATTCTTGAGCATACCGCTACTATTGAGGAAAAGGTCGAGAAGGAGAAGATTGATAGAAAGTTAATGCCTGCACCGGCAAGTAAGAAATTTGTTGCTTCAGCTTCCAAGAAGAAGAGACCAATTGTTGTCAGGCGACAGAGTTCGCAAACTTCACAGTCTTCGAACGATAGCTCGGCGAGGGTTCCAGGCGGACAAGGACAACAGAATAGAACTTTGGGGAGGCTGCCGACGTTATCTGTACTGCCAGTCAGAAATCAGAACACGCAAGAAAACGTTACAACGCGAACCACAACCTCGCCGACCAAGCGGAATCCCTCCAGATCGGCCGCTCCAACTGTGGGTGGTTCGCGCAAACTTGCAAGCACTCGCGAGGAGAGTATTGAGATTGAGCCCACTCAGCCTGAGCCTTCCAACAACCTTCAGACACTAGCAAACGACCAGGTTTCAGTACCTCAAGTCAGTGAGGCTGAGTTCAAGGTACAAAGAATGCTTCACGACAATGTTAAAACAGCCAGCATGTTACCACCTGAAACTTCAAGTCCAGATTCTCCGGCATCGACCACGTCTAAGGATTCGAGCAATGGCAAACCCCCTGGTTGTAGGAAAGCGAGTGGGAAAAATCTTTTACAACACCAGTCTAAAGGCATGGTCAGCTCGGCGCCAACATTGACTGATGCAACTGGTCACCTCGATCTAGGAAATGGTAACCAACTTGCAGCAGTACCCGCGTCGCCAGAGAGACCAAGCAAAGGCAAAGCTCGAGCTCTTATGAAAGATCTCTTTACAAAGAAATCATTTTCACAAGCGACTCCTCCTAGTCCTATATCAGGAAGCTTAGCATCAAGCCCATCGGGACCTTTAAGTAAAAGCAAGTCACAACTTTCGCTTCTGCTCGAACGAGATCAAGCGAGGAGTTTAGAACCCAGGACATTACCGAAACATGAGCGTAAACAGTCCATGAAGTAATTTGCATGCGATATACGAGAGATCACCGCATAGTTTGTACATATATGATCGATTGGGAGGAGCATGATATGCACGATGAACAAAAGTGTTTCCAAGGCGCATCGTTTCTATCACTGCATCAGAGGCGCGTTTCTGGAACAGGATTGCTATTGGTGTCATGGATATTGGGGGTCAATAGGCTGCACATCTGGCTACGG